TCATGCGAGTAAACCGTTTTTTTTTGCCTTGAAAGTACAAATTATATAATATTTCTTGGTAATTAAGTCAATTTGAATGCTTTAAAAGGAAAGAGACTTTTAAAAAGTAGTAACGACTTTTAAAAAGTATTAACTACTTTTAAAAAGTATTAACGACTTTTAAAAAGCATTAACTAACGTTTATTTTTCTCGTTTAAATTTGAAAATTAGAAATTTGATGCTCAAGAAAGTCTATTAGGTTGAGAAGGCCGAGAAAAAAGTCTTTTCACTTTTTTCTCATTATTTTTTTGTTTTTCTGTTTTTTTTATGCATAAATAGCCATAGTAAAAGTATAAAAATTGATTTTTTTAATGAATTTTGACTTTAGACTTTTTAATTTAGCTACATTTAGCCAAATTTAGCTAAATTTAGCTTAAAAAGCTGAATTTTTATTGGTAATCACCGAAATTTGGAAATCTAGAGTGATTTCTTAAAGTTTAAACGTTTTTCCGCACAAACCTTGATACACTGAAGGTATTGCCCGAAAACGTTTCTCGTCCCGATATGCGACGTGCAATCCTGGGCGTTTAGTGTGCACACCTAAAGATTCCCTTCGTTTTTTTCTGAGTCTATTCGAATGAATGGAATGAAATATTGAAAAATTCGGCCATTCTGGAACGCACCACTGAGATCCCGAGCAAGGCGGCCGCCCGTAGAAGCATTTCTGAAAATTGGGGATTGTGAGCTGGGAGCTGGAGGGGAAAAACCATCAAAAATGTGAAATTTGAAAGAAACTAAAGTTGATTCGGGCAAACTGGATGGCATTTCGAAAGCTGAATCTTTTAAACAACAGAAAAAAAAAGCTTAAAAACTCAAGTCGAACTCAGTTTTTGTTCAAAAGTCTGTTGCCAAAAAATTGCAAATTTGCCTAAAATTATCAAACCCTAAAAACTCTTTCGCTAAATTTCCCCGATGACATCCAGATCGAAAGGAAATCGCAAAATTTTCAGCAATTCTTTAAGCAAATTTCAGGAAAAAGTCGAAGCTATGCACGCAACGTTGTTCAAATTTTTTAAATCATAAAAATCGAAAAAAATTCTTTACTAAATTTCCTCGATGACCTCCAGATCGAAAGAAAATCGCAAAATTTTGCTTAAATCTTTGGAAAAACAAATCAAAAACGATGGGAAATCGAAAGAGTGGAGAACTGGGTCGAAATTGGCGGACAAATGATAAGGAAAAGAGGCTGAGATCTCGGAAATGACACGATTATCCCTAAAATTGGAGCTCAATTCAAGGATTTTGCGATTTTGGGCGGTGATTGGGGGTGTGAAAATTGGGGTGAGCTGGTAGGGGGGAAAGGGGGTCGGCTGCTGGAGCTGGAGAAGAGAAGCCACCCATTTTCGGGGTTGGCAAAGAGCTTTCCCAGCTCCGGACCGGCTTTAATCGTCGATCTGGATCGCACAATAACGATTGCGTTGACTTGGGATAATGTTTGAATAAGGTACAAAAATTTGTCAGGAAATGTGGAAATTTTTGAAAAATTTAAAATGCAAATTTTGGGTTTTAGCTGAAAACGTTAAAGTAAGGCTTTAGATTGGCCTAGTGCCTGACAGAATCGCCAAAAATATTGAAATTCGATGCTCATAAGGCTCGGAGGGCTTTAAAACTGAACCAAGTCAATTCCAAGTGAAGACAAGTCCGTATTTCGTTGAAAACACTAAAGTAAACCTTTAGATTGGCCTAGTGCTTGCCAGAATCGCCAAAAATATTGAAATTCGATGCTCATAAGGCTCGGAGGGCTTTAAAACTGAACCAAGTCAATTCCAAGTGAAGACAAGTCCGTATTTCGTTGAAACGCTAAAGTAACCTTTAGTTGGCCTAGTGCTTCCAGAATCGCCAAAAATATTGAAATTCGTGCTCATAGGCTCGGGGGCTTTAAACTGAACCAAGTCTTCCAAGTGAAGACAAGTCCGTATTTCGTTGAAAACACTAAAGTACCTTTAGTTGGCCTAGTGCTTGCCAGTCGCCAAAAATATTGAAATTCGTGCTCATAGGCTCGGAGGGCTTTAAACTGAACCAAGTCAATTCCAAGTGAGCGTCCGTATTTCGTTGAAACGCTAAAGTAACCTTTAGTTGGCCTAGTGCTTGCCAGAATCGCCAAAATATTGAAATTCGTGCTCATAGGCTCGGGGGCTTTAAAACTGAACCAAGTCAATTCCAAGTGAAGACAAGTCCGTATTTCGTTGAAAACGTTAAAGTAAGGCTTTAGATTAGCCTAGTGCCTGCCAGAATCGCCAAAAATATCGAAATTCGATGTTGGTAAAGCTCGGAGGGCTTTAAAATTGAGCCAAGTCAATTCCAAGTCTTTCCGAGCTTTATAGTTCCATTTTTCTCAAATCTTACAGCAAGAAGTTCGCCAAACTCGTTAGACTAGTCTCGTTCTAGTTGTCGGGGTGAAAGGAAATTCTTTAATGTCATTCTATTATCATTATCATCATCATGAGTCACGTATTTTCGATCCAAAAAGACAAATGCAAAAAAAGAAAAAACAAAAAAGCGCACAAACAACAGAAATCATAAATTGGTGTTAGTCTATGCTTTTTTGATTGAAACCAAAAGCTTGTTGTCGAAAAGAATATGATCTAACAAGGGAATGGTTTGGGGTTCGAAGTTCAAATTTCGAAATCGACTGGGAAAACTGATTCCTTTATAAGGCTTAGCTCTGTAAAACGGTGGTCCTATCCATCGGGTTCAATTTCACCATTGCCTTTGAACTTTAACAAGAGAATGATCTCAGCTCAAAGTTCGGAATCGACTGGAAACACAGTGCATAACATAGAATGGGCAATGGCGAACAAAACGCGACAAAAATTACCCGCTAATAGCCACGGAAACGCGAGGAACCTGGTATGGAAAATCGGGATTGAAAACTGATTCCTTTATAAGGCTTTTCTCCCTGACCCTTTCTCCGGAGGTAAGCTCGTGGCCTAGTGGATAAAGACTTAGCTCTGTAAAACAGCAGTCCGATTTTTGCCCTCGGGTTCAATTCCGTCCACATGCAAAAATTTTTTGTTTTTTTTTGCCCGAGTGTTCCTTATCTCTCTAAATTTGGAATACCAAGAAAACTGACGAAATTTCTGAAATTGGTTTGCTCCAAATTGTTTATGAATGGTTAAAAGTAACTTTTGATATATTTTCTCGTTTTCCGGGTTAAAAACTTTTATTGCAAAGCGTCCCATAGCGGCAAAAAGATAAATTGACATTTATTGTCTCAGTGTTGAGCTAATTGAGTTGATCAAGCTGGCCCAACTAGCAGACCAAAGCTGGCTGGGTATCTAGCAGATCAAAGCTGACTAGGGATCCAGCAGATCAAAGCTGGCTGGGTATCCAGCAGATCAAAGCTGGCTGGGTATCCAGCAGACCAAAGCTGGCTGGGTATCTAGCAGACCAAAGCTGGCTGGGTATCTAGCAGACCAAAGCTGGCTGGCCATCTAGCACGAGCTTATCTCCGGCCGTCAGCGAGAAAAGCCTTATAAAGGAATCAGTTTTCAATCCCGATTTTCCATACCAGGTTCCTCGCGTTTCCGTGATTATTATCGGGTAATTTTTGTCGCGTTTTGTTCACCATTGCTCATTCTATGTTATGCACTGTGTTTCCCAGTCGATTTCCATTCGATTTCCAAAACCATTCCCTTGTAAGAGCTAATCGCAAGCTGTAAAATTTGACGATTTTGACGATTTGAACTCAAAATGAGCAAATTTTGTAGCAATTTTTAACAATCTCTAACACAAAAACAAAAATCTAAGCTTTAAGCATTCTGGAAAGCATTTTCGCTATCTAAACAAGGAAATCTGCAAAAAATCATTGATTTTCTGAAGATTTGCGATCACTTTTTTTTAATGAAAAACAATACCTTTTCGACGAATTTCTCTCTTTTTCAGCGATAGATCCACAAAATTTGCAGAACTTTTGTTGAGATAACAAACAAAAAAAAGTTAAATGATTGATGTTTAGGATTTGAAGAAATGAGCATTTTTATACGCAAAATCGACCAAGCAATCCAGGGTTTTTTGGGTGGAGAAAAAAAGTTGGGAATTGATTGCATGCACAATATGTTCGTGCGCCTGAATCTGTACGCGCTCTTTTGAGCGTTTTTTGCATTGGCGCTCTTTTGATATAGTCCCCTGTTGCTAATACATTAAAAGCGTGCCCAAGTATGAATCAGTGTTGAAAACCATGTCGAGATTAGGGCCTGAAAGTGAAGGCCTTAATCTCCAATTACTTTCAAACTACCCACTAAAATGTGCAAATCTAAAATACAGTGTGCTGCTTAAAAAAATGCCGTCTTTTCCCAAAAATCTTTGTTCAACCCGAGGGCAGCAAGGGATTTTAAGCCATTTTAAGATGCTTTCGTGCTTTATTTACAATTATAGTCAAATTAAATCAATTTAGCACTGAAAACTTGGCTCTTTGTGCTCTTTGTGCTCTTTGTGCTAGAACGCAAAACAAACTTTACGTCTAAAATCACGAATGAACAATTCTTTGACCCCGTTCACAGTATTTACAGTATTTACAGCAGCTAGTAGTAGTCTTGTCTTCGGGTTTTTTTTGTTTTATTATTTACGGTGTTATCTCTGCTGTAATTTTTCATTTAGGGTCGATGTCGGACAAGCCGGAGAGCAGCAAGACTCAACTCGAGACTTTGAAAGCGGATATCCTGGAGAAACTGTCGGCAAAGCTGAAGCCCGATCCAAAGCCATCACCCGTGCTCACAAAGCCGGTCAACATCCATGTGGAACTGAACCAAAAGCTGTTGGAGCTGCTCGAGGAAGGGACCAACGAGAGCCGAGAAAAAGCCAAGAAACTACTCGTCGACCGGAACGTGCTCTTAGTGGCTGGCGACGCAAATACGGCAGAAAAGATAAAAGCGTTGACAGAAGCTGTTGAGTCTCTGACTCAACAGGGCTTTGCCATTCAAAGCCTCGTCCGAGCACTCTCCGATCCACAAGTTCGGTTCATGAGGTAAAGAGAATGACCTTAAATAGTGAAATTTTCAAATTCAGGCATCTTAGCGAACCATTGTTCGAAAAAGACTTCCTTTCACAGTTGCCAGAGGAGGTTTGTTAAAGCTTGTGGGAGTAATTGTTTATTTTTAGATTGCTTGTCGTATCATCGCCTACTTGACACCGTGCGATTTGATGACTTGTGCTGGCGTTTCGCGGGCGTGGCGGCGGCTTTGTGAAGATGATCGGACGTGGCGACAGGAATGTTTGGAGAGAGGATATGTGAAATTTGACGCACCAAGGTTTGTTACAATTTTAAGTCGATGTTATTACACTTAAAAATACAAATCTGATAGATTTATATTAAACTAGATTTAAAGGATTGTAAGATCTAGGACAATAATGTTATTAATTCCAAAGCAAACAACGATGTAAAGCGAAAGAAATCATGATAATGTTTGATTAGATGAACTGGTTCATATTTAGGAAATCGATTGTAAAAAGACTCGTCTCAAACTTGTTTTTTTAGTTTTTGTTTTCTCGGAGGTTGGGCGACGAATCGAGCAAATGAGCAAGGGGGAATCGCAATCTCCTCACATATGACCTTTCAGGAAGCACGTCAAAATCGACGAGAACGCGAGATCGCATATGGAAAGTTAGTGACGCAATTTGTTGCTAAATTAAATCTTTTCTAGATGTTATGAGCGATCATCATGGAAGTCACTGTACTTGCGGAAGAAGCGAATCATTTCAAACTGGCGATCCCGAGCGATTCAATCAAGCACTGTCCAAAAGGTTTAAACAAATGTTTTGGCTAAAATTTTTTTTAGGTCTATAAAGGGATCTTTCGTCTACAAGTTCACTCTGGTCGTATTATTACTGGTTCTGCTGATAATACGTTGCGGGTCTGGAATGTTGATGATACTCAGGTTTGTTTCGTTTAACTAATATTGTACGTCTTAATTTAGCCGGCTTTCACTCTAACTGGCCATATGGGTCGTATTTTGACATTTCAAATGAGCGATGATGGCAAATACATTATCAGGTTAATTAATAGGCTCTAGCTAGTGCAATTGATAAGTGTTGTCAAAGAAGCTAACAATTTTCTAAACAAAGATACTTGTGACAACAAAGTCTATTGCAATATTTAAGTGGCTCGGCTGATCAAACGGTGCGCGTTTGGTGTGGTCAAACCGGTTTCCAGCGTGATGTTCTACAGGGGCATACGGGTACTGTTAACTGCATAAGTCTACATGGAACAACGTGAGTGAACTGAATTTTGTGCTTTAGCTAAAATCGTAATGTTTTAGTCTTGTTTCTGGATCGGGCGATCAAACGCTCCGTGTATGGGACATTATCGACGGGAAATGCCTTCACATTTTGACTGGCCACTTGGCGGAGGTATGTGTATTGAAGTTATGGCTTTAGCAAAGTTAAATTTCAGGTACGTTTTGTGCTATTTGATGGGAAACGGGTTGTTTCTAGTGCTGATGGTGATGATTTTACCGTAAAGGTTTGTAAAGTTATTTGTGCAATTTTATGATATTCTATTAGGTTTGGAATGCACACACGGAGGAGTGTTTGTATATGTTGAAGGGCCACACGGATACAATCCTTTCACTTTTGGTAAGTTGAATTGTCAAATTTTGGTTTTAATCAGGATTCTGCTTTAGTTTGAGTCAGAGCGTGATCTTGTCGTGTCGGGTAGTCGTGACGGAACGATTCGCGTCTGGGATGTGCGAAGAGGAAGTGGGTTTTACTTGTTTCCTATTCTGTTAAAATATCATCTATATTTGTTCAGCATGCATAGTCTTTCTTAAAGGGTTACGGTTCAGTGGTTACTTTGAGGTGCTTTCGGAAACATTTTGGTCTCGTATTACGCTCCGAAGTTAAGGTTGTTTTCAATTCTATGCCTCCTTGTTTGGGACATTCGTGAGGGTGGCTCGTTCACTCATCGTTTACAAGAGGCAAATCGTCGCACGTCGAACGTCACTTCATTGCAATTGCTTGACTCCGGACTTTTGGTGACAGGTTCGATGGATGGCTTGGTCATGCTGTGGGATGTGGATAAAGGTATGCTGTTTTACATTACCGAATACTATAGGCTATGAGATCCAGACTTCAAGTTTTCAGCTAAAGTAGAATTTGTTAACTACAGAACTTGGCTCGTCAACTATTCAAGCTTAAATCTACGTTGAGGTTCAGTATCTAGTTGTTGTTGTTGTTGTTAATTTAGTTGTTAATTTTTTTTTCACTTTTAGGTATCTTCGTTCGTGATCTCGTTCGTCTTGCATCGTGTGGATATGGCGGTTACAATTGGCTTCTCAAAGCGACTGAAACATTGCTCGTGGGTGCATTTGAAGCGAGATTGGCAGAGAGCACAAATCTCATCTTCATCGATTTTGACGCAGCGTATCCGTAGGTATATTCGTATTTTTGCACTTTCCCTGAGCCTTGCGATTTTCTGAGGAATTCTTTTGGTTTTCAATTCTTCTGAACTTTCATTGCTTGTGATTATATTTCAAATATTTCCCACATTATATACACTTTTATGCCATAGTCTTGATTTTGTGAACCTTTTTTTCCATTTTTTATTTTTTGAGCTTCGCATGCGACCGAAACATCTCTCCTATGCACAGTTAAATCGCTAAACGGACACGAGAGGAGAAACTTGATCTTGATCGATTTTGACGCTCGTATCCATAGGTATATTCGGTTGCCTTTGTCTGTTGTGTTTTCTTAAGGATTTTTCCGTTTTCAATCCTTCTGTGTTTTGGCTCCTCGTTGGCGTTTGTGTTTCCTTTCAAATATTTCCCTTTTACACTTTTGCCAAGTCTTATTTTGTGCCTTTTTCCTTCTTTTTTGGCTTCGCATTCGTTGGTTGCTGGAAACATTCGATATTGTTTTGATCCATATCAACTCCTGTAATTCTTTATTTGCTCGATGTTTCAACGCTTTATGAATAAAGTATATTTAAACTGTGTAAGTGGTTTTTGCTACACAACTTACACATGTAAGATAAATTGCTTAAACTTGCTCACAAATAAAAAGAAACAGATTAAACTTGCAAGGGAAGTGCACTCACTTAAGCTCGCAGCTTTTGCATTGGGACTCAGTTGATGCGATGCACAATTTCATGCTGATTCCGAACCTGCTTTTCGTTGTTGCAAAATGGCTCCCTATCAAAAGTTACAAACGTTTTAAATTTGTAGCCAGGAAATGGAATTTTCCTGGCCAAAATGGGATTCCCTCAGAAAGTTCTTTCAGTCCCAGTCAAATGTGGCGGCGCAGTGAGAAGAGGGCTTATGTACGAAACGATTTCTTCATTTTTTGCTTCAGTTCAATTCCATCCTTTGTTTTTCTTTTTATTTGACCTTCCACCACTTAATTTTGTTTCAGTTTTCGATTTCAGGAACTATCACAATGAACTTTTTTTGTATTGAGGTTTATGGAGAAAATTGTTACGTTCCACAAAAAGGACAGAATAAACGATCTTTCACAACACCTATTTTCTGCACAATCTTTGCAGGCGATTTAGGAAAGCAGGAAGAAAGAGCGTCTATTCTAGATTTGTGGTTTATAGATTTTTTTAAATTTTATATAGAAAATACGGACTAAAAATAATCGAAGGTTAACAGCAACCAACCAACTAATTCAAACAATAATCAAGACTATGGCATACAAGTCTATATAATGAGCGTAATTATTGAAAGGAAAGCAATGAACGTTCAAAAGAATGGAAAAACCGAGCAAATTCTTCGGAAAATCACAATAAGCCCTAGGGAAAGCGCAAAAATACAAAAATACTTATGGATATGAGGCATCAAAATCGATGAAGATGAGCTTTGTGGCCTCGGTCCTATCTTCCGATCGAACTCCACATACGAGTGATGTTTCAGTGGCTTTGAAATCCAAATAATAACGGCCAGGTTCACTAGAACGAGAACGAACGAGATCACGAACGAAAGTACCTTAAAATAGAAAAAAATTAACAACAAGACACTGAACCTTGCCATAGATTTAGGCTTGAATAATTGACGAGACAAGTTATGTAATGAATAAATTCTACTTTAAATCCCAGCTTGCAGTCTGGATCTTATTGCCTATAGTATCAGGTAATTTAAAACAGCATACCTTTATCCACATCCCACAGCATGACCCGGCCATTCTCCGAACCTGTCACCATAAGTCCCGAGTCCAGCAATTGCAACGAAGTGATGGCCGACGTCTGACCATTTACGCCATGTAAGTGGTGAATGCACGAGCCACCCTCACGAATGTCCCAAATCTAAGAAAAAGAAGTAGTTTTCATAGGATTGATTAAACATACCCAAACGTCCGAGTCGTAATAGGAGACCAAAATGTTTCCGCGAAGCTGCAACCCAAAGCAACGACCTGCAAACGGTAACTCTTCAAGAGAGCGAAGAAGTGCGATGCATGCTGAAAGAAACAAATATAGATGAGATTGTAACAGAATAGTGAAAAAGTAAAAACCACTTCCTCTTTGCACATCCCAGACGCGAATCGTTCCGTCACTACCCGCCACGACAAGATCCCGCTCTGGCTCAAACTAAAACAGAATTCTGATTAAAGCCAAAATTCGACAATTCAACTCACCAAAAGTGAATCGACTGGCCATGTGTGACCCGTCAGCGTGTGCAAACACTCCTCCGTGTGTACATTCCAAACCTAATAGAATATTATAAATAGCATTGATAACTGTACAAACGTTTACGGTACAACCAAGGCCAAAAAATACAACCCGTTCTCCATCAAATTTCACACATCTCTGAAACTTAGCTTAAGCTAAAACTTTGATACACATACCCAAGCAGCGACAGGCAAAATGTGAAGGCATTTCCCGTCGACAATGTCCCAAACTCGGAGTGTTTGATCGTGCGATCCAGAAACAAGACTAAAACATTATGATCTTAGCTTAAACAGAAAATTCAGATCACTCACGTTGTGCCATGTAGACTCATGCATGAAATATGTTCCGTATGTCCCCGCAAAACATGAAGCTGGGCACCGGTTTGACCACACCAAACGCGCAACGATCCATCAAACCCGCTACTGAAATATTACAACATACTTTGTTGTCATAAGAATTTTTGTTTGAACCTTTTTAGCCTCATTGGCAACTCTTATGAATTGCACTAGCTATATTCCATTAACTAACCAGACAATGTATTTGCCATGTTCGCTCACTTGATACGACATGGGGGGACCATTAGCACCCGTTAGAGCAAAAGCCGGCTAAATTCGGAGGTACAATAACAATTAAACAGAATAAACTTGAGCATCTTCAACATTCCAGACCAGCAACTTATAATCATGAGAACCAGTAATGATACGACCAGGGTGAATTTGTAGACAAATGGTTTGTTGAAAGTCATCCTAAAAACCATTTTTACGGTCAAACCATTTATTCAAACCTCTATAACAGTGCTAGATTGAATCGCTCGGGATCGCCAATTCGAAATGATTCGCCTCTTTCGCAAGTATAGCGACTTCCATGACGATCGCTCATAACACCTAGAAAAAATTAAATACAGCAACAAGTTAGGTCACTAACTGTCCATATGCGACCTCGCGTGCTTGTCGATTCTGCTGTGCTTCTTGAAGGTCCATATGTGAACAGATTGTCATTCCCGCTTGCTTATTTGGTCGATTCGCCGCCCAACCTCCGAGAAAACGAAAGCTAAACAAAAACAAGTTTGAGACGAGTCTTTTTACAAGCGATTTCTTAAATATGAACCAGTTCATTTAAACAAACATTATCATATGATTTCTTTCGCTTTACATCTTCCTTTGCTTTGGAATTAATAACATTATTGTCCTATATTTTACAAGTCTTAAAATCTAGTTTAATATAAATCTATTAGAATTGTATTTTTAAGTGTTATATAATCTGTTCAAAACTGTAACACACCTTGGCGCATCAAATTCCACATATCCTTTCTCCAAACATTTCTGACGCCACGTCTGATCATCTTCACAAATCCGTTGCCACGTCCGCGAAACGCCAGCACAAGTCATCAAATCGCGCGGTGTCAAATGGGCAATGATGCGATAAGCAATCTAAAATTAAACAATTACTCCCACAGGCTTTAACAAACCTCGTTTGGCAATTGTGCCAAGAAGTCCTGTTGGAACAATGGTTGGCTCAGTTCCACTTGGATATTGGATAAACCACTTGGATTAGCCTCAATTTGAATCTTGCTGATCTCCGGCCTATTCGACATCTCCCTTAAATAAAAAATTATAGCAGAGATAACATCGTAATTAATAAAAGGAAAAGTCGCCGAACAAAATACTATTACTAGCTCGTGTAAACAATGTAAGAGCACCCCGCCCCTTTGGCACACACTAGAGGCCGGTGGGGTACTATTAAAGTATTTACGGCATATACACCTGCCTAACGAATTGGATAGAATGAAATTTATGGCAAAAAGACTCCTTAAATATCCAAAAGGGCCGCGTCTTAGGACGCGCCATCGAGAGGTTTACGGTAGAATGTACACAAAACCATCTTTGGTGGCTTCACGGCTCAAAAACTCCTGGAAACAGGAAAAGTCCTGGAACAAAATTACTAGCTCCCGTAAACAAGCTCCCGTAAAAGTAGCCGGCCGTGTGGCACACACTAGAGGAGGATCGGGTACTATAACAGTAGTAACGGTATATACATCTGCTGGACGAATTGAAAAGAATGAAATTTATGGCAGAAAGTCTCCTTAAATATTCGAAAGGAGCACGTTTTAGAACGCGCCATCAAGAGGTTTACGGTAGAACGGTAGAATGCTTTAAATTCCGCCAATAAACTTCACCTTACCTACGAGGATGTACTTAAAACCATATTTGGTGTTCCACTTTTCAAAATTCTCTTTTTCATTGCGCTTTTAGCACTTGACTCACAAAATACCCTTTTGTGCACATTCTCGTAGGTAAGGTGAAGTTTATCGGCAGAATTTAAAGCCCCGTTCGGGTGTTGAAACTGGGGGCGGCGAAAATTTGCTTCTAAATTTACTACAACAAATAAATTTGCTGATTATTGGTGGGTAGTTTGAAAGTAATTGGAATTTCACAAATTTTGATACATTATATTTATGAGGGAGGACACTCGTACATTCCTAGATTTATTTTGATAGAAAAGATCTGAGAAACTCTTCACTGAGCTATACAATAAAATCGACGCTTATTATTTTTAAATTTTAAAACTATTTTAAACGATTAGACGATTTTAAAACTATTATAATGCCAAAAAATACGTTAGTTGCATGCCATACTCTATCAAGCATGGGTGTGTTGAAGGTGAATTTATCAGGATTGGGGAAAACTGCATTATCGCCCCCCCACTGAAGAAGCCGCTGTAGGGTCGCCGCTGTAGGGTCGCCGCTGTAGGGTCGCCGCTGTAGGGTCGCCGCTGTAGGGTCGCCGCTGTAGGGTCGCCGCTGTAGGGTCGCCGCTGTAGGGTCGCCGCTGTAGGGTCGCCGCTGTAGGGCCCCGGGGGGGCCCCCCCCCGGCCCCCCCTTTTTTTTTTTTATATTTATTTTTTAAAAAAAAATTTTTTTTTTCTTTTTTGAAAAACTATCTTTTTTTTTTTTTTTAATTTTTTTTTTCTTTTTTTGGTTTAAATTTTTATTTTTTTAAAAAAAAATTTAAAAAGGGCGATAATACATTTGCCGGAAATCCTGAATTACTCCCCCCCCCCCACACACTGTATTATCACCCCTTCCCCCTGGGAAAACTGCAGCATTGCCCTCCACGCGAAACTGAAGTATCGGCCCCCCACAATTTTTTTTGATAATCCACTGTCCCCCAGGGTTGTCCGTTGTTGCAGCAGCCTTGTAGATTTAGTTCTACACGCGAAAAGCCTTATAACACTACTCACTGAAAATAAATACTCCTTTAATACAACTATTTCACTGATAGATATTACATTTATTAAAAAGAATAAACTTTTCTTAAAAGATTCTCTTAAATTTCACAGAAAACAGACTGCAATTCAATTTGAGCACTAAAACTAAAACACTAACCAAACCCCTTCAATTTCAACTCTGAGGAAATTTTGTTTCTTTGATCGTATTTGGTGAACTGCAAGCCCCTATTCCTGTGAAACCTCTGAAATGTCCAGAAACAAATTTATGGAAGACTTTTTGCACTCAGGAATGAATCAAGATGATCAATGAATGATCAATGATCAATGATCAATCAATCAAGATCAAGATGTGGCCGAGTGAAAGGCCTTCTATGGCATTGTTCAACGTATCATCACAGATTTGGGAAAAGCCTACAAGATGTATCTTCCACTAGATATTCCGGCGGGATCCGGCCAGTGCCGAGTTTTTTCCTTTTTTTTCTAATAGATCTGTACATTGGTACAAAATGTAGTTAAACTAGTTTAGGCAAAAAAATTGTAACCTTACTCTTTTAAAAAACTCAATTTTCAAAACAATACACAAGAAAAAAATCAGCATTGATGCATAAAATGGAAAAAGCAAAAGCAAAAATATTCTTCACATCGAGAGCATTGGATAAAAGCCGTCTCACCGATGGACAATTCGTTGCAAATCATTGGTATTGCGTTCGAGAAAAAGCAAAATGATGCTGGCGTAATAAAAGCTGCGGGACGAGTTGCAATGTATCCGGTGCACATTCAATAAACTTTTGAAATGTTTTAAAAAAGCTCTAAAAGCTAATATTAACCAATTTCTATTCCAAAAGTTGTTTATCTAGGTAATTTTAGGGCGTAGAATCGAAATTTTGGCATATCAGAGCTTGTGGAAGCGAACGGACGGAGTTATACAAAGAGAAAAATCAACAATTTTCTGTAATTTGACCTAGCCCGTTTTGTCTTTCAAATTGGTTACACACGCTCTGTTATGTCAAAATTTGAATTCGACACCCTCAAATTACCTAGAAAAACAACTTTTGGAATAGAAATTGGTTAATATTAGCTTTTAGAGCTTTTTTAAAACGCGAAAAAAGGTGCGCAAAAAAAAAGGTCGCATTTGTCCCACTCCCAATAGTACCCCACACCCCTCGTAGAGTCGCGTGGTCGCAAAAGTTTTTTAGTATTTCATTTTTTTCAAATCGCCCATACTTTCAAAAAAATGTGTCTTTAGTATCAAAAAATAGCTGAAATTCAGGGCTATTTTTTGATACCTAAGCGCATATTGTAGCATAAACCAGTGTCGAGAAAAACGCGTTCAAAGCTAGACTACGCAAGTGGAGGGCCTGAAAGTGTCCTTTTTTCTTATAAATAAAGTGTATCACGATTTACGATACACCAATTAAAATACTCACTAAAATGTACAAATTTAAAATACAGTGTGCTGCTTAAAAAAATGCCGTTCTTCCCCAAAAATCTTTGTTCAACCAGCATGGCATGGCAGCAAGGGATTTTAAGCCATTTTAAGGTGCTTTGGTGCTTTATTTACAATTATAGTCAAATTAAATAAATTTAGCGCTGAAAACTTTGTGCTAGAACGCAAAACAGGCTTTACGTCTGAAAATGACGAATGAACAATTCTTTGCCCCCGTTCACGGTATTTACAGTAGCTAGTAGTAGTCTTGCCTTCGGGCTTTTTTTGTTTTATTATTTACGGTGTTATCTCTGCTGTAATTTTTCATTTAGGGTCGATGTCGGACAAGCCGGAGAGCAGCAAGACTCAACTCGAGACTTTGAAAGCGGATATCCTGGAGAAACTGTCGGCAAAGCTGAAGCCCGATTCAAAGCCATCACCCGTGCTCACAAAGCCGGTCAACATCCATGTGGAACTGAACCAAAAGCTGTTGGAGCTACTCGAGGAAAGGACCGACGAGAGCCGAGAACTTGCCAAGAAACTACTCGTCGACCGGAACGCGCTCTTAGTGGCTGGTGATGCAAATATAGATGCTGTTAAGTCTCTGACTCAACAGAGCTTTGCCATTCAAAGCCTGGTCGAAGCACTCTCCGATCCACAAATTCGGTTGATGTGGTAAAGAGAATGACCTTAAACAGTGAAATTTTCAAATTCAGGCATCTCAACGAACCATTGTTCCAAAAGGATTTTTTGTCAGAGTTGCCAGAGGAGGTTTGTTAAAGCTTGTGGGAGTAATTGCTTATTTTTAGATTGCTTATCGTATCATCGCCCATTTGACAACCCGCGATTTGATGACTTGTGCTGGCGTTTCGCGGGCGTGGCGGCGGCTTTGTGAAGATGATCGGACGTGGCGACAGGAATGTTTGGAGAGAGGATATGTGAAATTTGATGCGCCAAGGTGTGTTACAGTTTTGAACAGATTATATAACACTTAAAAATACAATTCTAATAGATTTATATTAAACTAGATTTTAAGACTTGTAAAATATAGGACAATAATGTTATGAATTCCAAAGCAAACAAAGAAGCAAAGCGAAAGAAGACATATGATAATGTTTGATTAGATGAACTCGTTCATATTTAGGAAATGGATTAGAAAATGACTCTTCTGAAACTTGTTTTTTTTTAGCTTTCATTTTCTCGGAGGTTGGGCGGACAATCGAGCAGATGAGCAAGCGGGAATCACCATCTGTTCACATATGGACCTTCAAGAAGCACATCAGAATCGACGAGAACGCGAGAACGCATATGGACAGTTAGTGACGCAACTTATTGCTAAATTAAATCTTTTCTAGATGCTATGAGCGATCGTCATGGAAGTCGCTGTACTTGCGGAAGAAGCGAATCATTTCAAATTGGCGATCCCGAGCGATTCAATCAAGCACTGTCCAAGAGGTTTAAACAAATGTTTTGACTAAAATCTTTTTCAGGTTGATAAAGGGATCTTTCGTCTACAAGTTCACTCTGGTCGTATTCTTACTTGTTTTGATGACACTACGTTGCGGGTCTGGAATGTTGATGATGCTCAAGTTTGTTTCGTTTAACTAATATTGTATGTCTTAATTTAGCCAGCTTTCACTCTAACGGGCCATATGGGTCAGATTTTGACATTTCAAGTGAGCGATGATGGCGAATACATTGTCAGGTTAGTTTAGAGACTATAGCTAGTGTAATTCGTAAAGGTTGCCAATGAGGCTAAAAAGATTCAAACAAAACTTCTTATGACAACAAAGTATATTGTAATATTTCAGTAGCGGGTTTGATGAAACGGTGCGCGTTTGGTGTGGTCAAACCGGTGCACAGCTTCATGTTTTGCAGGGGCATACGGATTTGATTCCATGCATGAGTCTACATGGCACAACGTGAGTGATCTGAATTTTCTGTTTAAGCTAAGATCATAATTGTTTAGTCTTGTTTCTGGATCATCGGATCAAACGCTGCGAGTCTGGGACATTGTCGACGGGAAATGCCTTCACATTTTGACTGGCCACTTGGCGGAGGTATGTGTATTGAAGTTATGGCTTTAGCAAAGTTAAATTTCAGGTACGTTTTGTGCTATTTGATGGAAAACAGGTTGTTTCTAGTGCTGATGGTGATGATTTTAACGTAAAGGTTTGTGAAGTTATTTGTGCAATTTTATAATATTCTATTAGGTTTGGAATGCACACACGGAGGAGTGTTTGTACATGTTGACGGGTCACACGGATATAATTCTTTCACTTTTGGTAAGTTAAATTGTCCAATTTTGGCTTTAATCAGGATTCTGCGTTAGTTTGAGTCAGAGCGTGATCTTGTCGTGTCGGGTAGTCGTGACGGAACGATTCGCGTCTGGGATGTGCGAAGACGAAGTGGGTTTTACTTGTTTGCTATTCGGTTAAAATATCATCTATATTTGTTCAGCATGCATCGCACATCTTGTCTTTCATCAAGGGTCACGGCTCAGTAGTTACTTTGAGATGCAGTTTCGCGGAAACATTTTGGTCTCCTATTACGACTCGAAACTTAAGGCATGTTTAATCAATTCTATGAAAACTACTTCCTTTTCTTTAGGTTTGGGACATTCGTGACGGTGGCTCGTTCACTCATCGTTTACAAGAGGCAAATCGTCGCACGTCGAACGTCACTTCATTGCAATTGCTTGACCACGGACTTTTGGTGACGGGTTCGATGGATGGCTCGGTCATGCTGTGGGATGTGGATAAAGGTGTCCTTTTTTACATTACCTAATACTATAGGACATAAAATCGATACTATAGGCTATGAGATCCAGACTTCATTTTTTCAGCTAAAGTAGAATTTGTTAACTTGGCTCGTCAACTATTCAAGCTTAAATCTATGTTGAGGTTCAGTATCTAGTTGTTAATTTCTTTTTTTGAGGTATCTTCGTTCGTGATCTCGTTCGTTTTGCATCATGTGGATATGGCGGTTACAATTGGCTTCTCAAAGCGAGTGAAACATTGCTCGTGGGTGCATTTGAAGCGAGATCGGAAAGGAGCACAAATCTGATCTTGATCGATTTTGACGCAGCGTATCCATAGGTATATTCGTATTTTTGCACTTTCCCTGAGCCTTGCGATTTTCTGAGGAATTCTTTTGGTTTTTCAATTCTACTGAACTTTCATTGCTTGTGATTATATTTCAAATATTTCCCACATTATATACACTTTTATGCCATAGTCTTGATTTTGTGAACCTTTTTTTCCATTTTATATTTTTTGAGCTTCGCATGCTTCGTTGGTTGCTGGAAACATTCGATATTGTTTTGATCCATATCAACTCCTGTAATTCTTTATTTGCTCGATTTTTCAACGCTTTGGTGAATAAGGTATATATCTTTTGTTTGTTAGCAATTATTCTCAGAACAGTGGTCGTTTCCTTTTTTTTCAAGAATTTCCTTGTGTGATTGTGTGAATTTCCTTGTGTGATAACAAACACCTCTGGAAGTTTCCAGAGGTGTTTGTGGTGATTTAAGTTGTTTAAGTCGTTTTCGTTACACAACTTACACATCTAAGATAAATCGCTTAAACTTGCACACAAATAAAAAGAAACAGGTTGAACTTGCAAAGTGCAAAGGAAAGTGCACCCACTTAAGGCGAGCTTTTGGATCGAAACCCAGACCATTCGATGCAGAATTTCCGTTTCCGAATCCGCTTTTTCTTTTTTTTTTCCCAATTCCGAATAACAAACAAAACAGTAACAACTTTCACGAAAAGGACAGAATAAACACTCTTTCACAAAACCTATTTTCTGTGCAATTTTTGCGGGTCATTTCTTTCGGGAAAGCAAAAAGAAATAGCGTTTATTCTATCTATTACGGTCTTTTACTGTTACTGTGAGCAATGAAACGTTAAAAAGTACACTGCACATTTGCCCGAGTGGGCAATCAGTTTATTAAAATTGCTAATAATAATGACCAGAATGAGAATTTTTGTTTAAAAATGCTACTTTTATACCTAAAGAATATAGCAACTCTATTAAGCGGATAGGCGGCTTTTCGGCTGGTTGGTCCGTTTCGTTTTCTTTTTTCTTTCCGAGCCTGAGTTAACTCCCTCTGGAGTAAGGGAAAACGAGTGCTTTGTGGTATAATGGTTAGCACAGTTAACCGGTAAGCGAAAGGTCGCGGGTTCGAGTCGCGGCTGCGCACAAGCTTTTGATCTTCCCTTTTTCCAACTCCTGTACTTTTCCTTTTTCCTTTTCAGCATTTTTTTAAAATACTTATTGATTAGTTTGGAAAGCAATTGCTTTTAAAAAGAGCTTTTTCTAGAGTCCAATCGATTTCCGATCATATTTTGGTGCACTCACGGCTCTCGTTTTGTGGAGAGAGAAAGCCGAGCCGAGCTGAGAACAGCAAGTGAGTCAAGAAATTGGAAAATTCTCGTTGATTGAATGTTATTGAATGAATGAATTAACAAAAACAATCGACTTTTAACAAAAACATCTGTTTTTTCTTTTTTGCCGTTGGCAATCTAAAGTTTTTCTCAGCACCAACGCTTGGATTTTGACTATATTAACTGGCATTTGACGCAGAATGAAATTACGCATCGAATCACACCAAAAGCTACTCTAAATGTAATATCCCCGCAAAGTTTTGCGGCAAAAGGTTAAGGGACGTTCATTGTGGGCGGGGCTTAACCTTTTGCCCTTGTACTTCGCGTAGATATTACATCTCGAGTTGAGATGTAATATCTAGTTTATAAGTGGTAATCTAGCATTACGGGGGCCAAAATTTGGCATAAGCTTCAGCGTTTAGTGATCAATAAAGATCATTATCAACAGTGATTATTATAAAAAGAAGATCAAGCTCAGTCAGTATGGAAAGCCCAGGTCCAGGCTTTTATCTTTTCGACCTTTGTTTTCGATTTTCGGCGCTAGTGAGGTTAAAAAGCTATCGACCATTGCAATCATTCTCTTTCCGATTCCGATCATTTTTCTCAAAGAGCAAAACCTTCAACAAGTGCTTAGAAAGAGATTAAAGTTGTATTGGCGGGGATTTGTCTTTGAGAGTTATCAGACTTTCGTCTTTTTTCAAGAATTCTAAGGCACAAAGCGATGTTGGATTGTTTTCAAAAATGAGAAAATCGATGGAAATTCTATTTTTGATAAGCTATTTACTTTGGATCATTTGCAGTGATGAGGATTTGACGAATCGAGAGGATTGTACGGATCGTGAGTTTTTTTGAATAGGTTTTGATAGAATTTGGCTTTTTTGAGTGTTGAATCAAAAGAATATCTTGCTATAAGCATAATTTCAAAGAAAATGAGGCTGGATCTTGTTCAGAGTCGATCAAAACTGGACCATGAGAAGCCTTGGCCAGTTCCCACAGGCCAGAGAGGCCAGGGCATTCGGTCTGAGCATTCAAGGCCAAATATTGCAATTATCCTTTCTTTAACAGTCTTTTAGTATCGATCTATCACAAGAACACGAATTGCACGCAGCGTTTCATGCTTTATATTGGCATTATTGGGTTGCCAACGCTGAAAGATGTCGAGATTTCGCAAACTTTCGAATCACTGATGCCGCTGTTTCGAGCTTGTATCGCGGCTGAGAAAGCCAATCCACAAGATCAGAGGTTAGCAGACAAAGAAAATAGACAAGGCCTTGAAGCCAGAAGCTGGCTTCAAGGAATCTGACCGATCCTTTTTCAGCAATTTCTTTATCCTTGGTGCAAAGAGTTGCGATGTCACGCCTTTCAAACAATACAACAACATTCGTAGCGTCAACGCTTTGAGATTCGAGTGAGCTGATTTGCTTTCGATAATGGCTGATCTATCGATTGGTCTATTGGCCCAAGAATGTGGCAATAAGTTAAGCTTGGCTAAGCTTATTGCCTAGCCGGCTTGACAATAATATAGTGATCTAGCGCAACCCTCGCAACGACTCTTGAGCATTTTATCGACTCAGCGCTGAATTTCCCAGAAACTTGCCATCATTCAATGGAAAATGTGCAGTCTGTTCTACTGCTTGTGCTCAAGATCCCGAGTGGTAACTGTGAGTTTCAATTTAAAGTTTTAAATAAACTTTTAACTTTATGAATCTCCTAGTTTCAGTATTGACGCTTCTCAAAGGAAAATACGATATTATTTGGTTGGGAAATTTGACGAAAAGAGTTGTCGACGAGGATTTTGTCATCAAAGTGATCTTCAACGCCGAGCGATCGGTATTCATTAGAGAGATTTCCAAGGCCAGACGTCGGCCCAAGTTTGGGCAGAACTGGTCATTGAGCTGACTATTGCTTGCCCAACCTCTCCTGGGCTGACTCATGAGCTGACTACTAATAGAGCTAGAGCTGGTTACAGCTAGAGTAGTCTATAGGTAACCAAATCCTAGTAGACCAGAAGCTACAAGTTTCACAGTAACCTCGATCAATCTAGAGATTCGAGCTTGACAGCGATAAGGTCGAAAAGGCGATGAACAACATCAGAAACCCAACGGAGAACTACATCTCATATGCAAGCTTTTCTTGAAATCGTTTTATCTTGCATTTTATTAAATCTAACAGAATTTTGAAATCTAGAATGCTTTCAGGTGATTGACTCTTTACAAAACTACGAAGCAGTGGGCAGGAATTATGGCTTGTGCACACCGCAACCATTGCCCACTTTTGCGCCAGTTTCCAGAGAGCCGCAAACGGGTGTGTGCAAGGTTTTGGAATAGGAAATTGACCACCGGGTTCCGGAGTTCCGGGTCTAGAGCCGGGTCGAATGCCAGCTCTGGTTGGTTCGGTCGAATCCCAGACCCAGTGGCCAAGGCCAGACCAGACTCTGATCTGGCCTGACCGACCGTATCTGTCCATTGATACCTGTTTCAGACCCTAAACTAGCCTTGTTCTAATCTGCCAAAAGCAATGACAATGGCTTATTGGTTTATTATGGCCGATCGTAAATCAATGGCTTTTCTGCTATCTCTCTCTTTAGAGCACCATTTCGTGCCCCAGTGCCCCAATGCCGCAAAAAAGCAAGAAATGGATCTGGGGAGTGGTGGTCGGCGGAATTGTCTTATTGGTGATCATTGGCTGTGCAGCGAGGCCATTGTATCGCTATTTGCAAAGGGTGAGTTGGCTTAGGCTTAGGCTCAGGCTCAGGCTCAGGCTCAGGCTTAGGCTTGGCTTAGGCTTAGGCTCAGGCTTAGGCTTAAGAACAAGCTTAGGCTCAAGAAATCTAGCTAGCTTTCTAAAGAAATCCAGCCGTAAGCGAGTTGAATCTCTACCTTATACCTGTTTAGTTATGGTACAAATGGCGCCTCGACGATCAAGATTTGTATGCGGTTGTGAGAAAGGTGGTTGTCGTTTTTCTTTAAGAATTTTTCCTTTACAGGATCAAATCTTCGCCACAGTGAACCCGAATCAACGGCAGAGGAACTGATTTAAAAAAAACACTTTTGATAATTCAAATTTATCCGATTACACACAAATACTATCTACAAAATACCCTGTAAACTGGCCAAAAAAAATGAAAGAAAAAGCAAGGAATTCAAGAATGAAGTGTATTGCATTGAAATATCGCTAAAAATACTGTAAGAATCCGCATAAAATTGGAAAATGGATGTGTCAAAAAGGAATCAAATAGTCAAACTATCAAAAATGGAAAGCTTGAGGTTTAGGGTGAAGAAATTGACAGTAAAAGTAAGGTTTGTTTTCTAAGCAATCAGCCTAGTGCCTCCCAGAGCTTACAATTTACTCAAAAAATTGTCGAGAAGATGAAGGGAGAGGTGGCCACGCTCGTGTACTTGATCGAGATCACGAAGGGTGGAGAGCTAAAAAGTGATCTAGATACCGTAAAATAGCTTCTTTCTGTAGCATGACATTCAGAATTTGGAAATTTGATTTTAAAAAAGCGAGTTAACTGTTTTATAGTGTTTCATTGGACTTGAAGTCATAGAGAGAGCTAGTGAACTCACTAGTCTGTTATAAATAGTGGTCAAGGTACAGTAGCTCGATCTTTTTTTAAGCTGACATCCAGGATTTAGATATCAGTGGGATTTTTTTGCCTATAATGCTTTTTTAACGATATTTCACCTGGGTCCCGTTTGCTCCAA